CCGTACCGCCGATGGCGCCGCGTTGCAGAGACCATGGTGCCGACTCGACGCCGTTGGCTGCTATGCTTGCCCGTGCTCTTCAATAAATTGGTACCGACGTCCGTTTCCTCGTAAACGGCGCGGCTGCAAAACGTCCCTCGCGCCGTGCGCAGCGGCAAAGGACGGTTCTCGTGGCTTGTTGTCTCTGGGGATTGCCTCGGACCCTTTGGGGTGCTCGGCAAGGGCTGTGGCTGCTGCAACTCGTCGGCACAGCCAGTCACGCTACTAGAGACGTCTGCACTACTCTTCCCTTCCAAATTTCCTCTCAACCCCGCAGTGCTGTTTGTACAAAGGCGGGGGAGCAGGAGAGGGAAGGTGGCGCGGACTGTCTCCTCTAGGTTCGTCTCGCGTGTCCCAATCACCGTGCCGGGAAGGGTCAGTGCGTGGGTGTCTTTCCTGTCAGGACCGGGGAGAAAATACGAGCAAAGGCATGGACGGTGAGACAAGGTTGATCAAAAAGAGATGAAGATTGTACACTCATGCTTCCTTCAAGCGACGACACGAAGACGTCGGGAGGTGGATGGCCGGTTTCCTCGGAGGCCTTACTCGACACCGCCTCGCCTGGTAAAGCCTCAAGGGTACTCTTCCTGCAAGTGTCGAGCATCACGATCTAACCTCATCCCGTTGCGAAGCAGCCTTGTTAGCAACACCACACACAAAAACGTAAGGTGTGCTCATCCCTATAAGGTCCAGGGGCTACCCCGCACCTTCCCCTCTCCGCTTCGCTGGTCTCTTTGAAGAAATGCATCGATACATCACCCCAAGGCACGCCATAAGACACACAGACACCTCGTTATCATGCTCTCCCACATATCATCAAGATGTCGGCTGGTAACTGTGTGCACATTGAGTATGGGCGTCCGGGGGAGGTTGGGGACATAACAAGGCAATTTCTGCTTGATCGCATTCTGCCACTTCTACACGAGGCGTAACTCGGAGCTAGAAGGGACTTTTCGACACGCACTGTACACTACATGTGAGAATACTAACACTCAAGTGCGCGGTGAGGACGGATACGACACCGCGGCCCACTACTGTCAAAAATGACAACAGGGAAGCAACTTCGGTCGCAACGTGCGTGTCCGCAGAACACCCCCGTGGGCCGTCGAAGGATGCGCTTCCTTTCCCTCACATTCAACCACTTTTCTCACCATAGACACCGGTGACAACGAACACGAATCCTCCAATACTATTTTGAAGTGCATTGGCTGTGGGAATTTGTCTAGGGCACGCACCTTGCAAGTGATCAACGCCTGGAAATTTTGCTGACTGCACCAGCTGCCAAGAAAGCTCCTTTCTTCTGCTCGCTGTACGTACACGCTGATGTCAGAGCAGACGAAAAAAGGGAAATGGATCACCACCGACTCCCAGAAACGTCGAAAACGTATGTCCATGCCAGCAGAGGCACATGCATGGTGGATAACATGGACGCAAAGGGAACAGAAGAATGTGCCGAATGGGGGTCGCGTAAACACGCATATAAGAAACAAGAACATGCCAAGCCCTGAAAGCGAGCGGGGCGGGGAAAAAATGAAATAAAAAAGCTGGGAGGTTTTTTCGAAAGGCTTGAACTTAAAAAAGAATTTCTGGGCAAGGCTACGTGCATGTGTGGAGACATTATGTGACTCATACAAGCTTTTGGTCTTTCTAGCTTTGAGCTGTTAATAGATGCATTGAGGTGTATCCTTTCGTACAGGTTGCTTTTTGTTCCACTCACGCAAGATCGCTTACACGATATTTCTTTCTTGTATGCCCCCGGGTTTCTGTCTTACGGGGCATATTTCGACAAAATATCATATTCTGAATGCATAAATCGTATAAAATGTTCTAAAACATATGTGCCCATTATCTTATTTCCTTATTTTATCTAAATTATCTAAATGGTTGACTCCCGCTTGCATATCTTGAACGTACGAAATTCTATGTTCCACTCATTCATGTTTTTGTGATATCCCTCTCTTTAAGCATGGGCGGAGAGAAATTAAATCATACTAATCCGTTCAGAGTAGAGCCACTGCCTCAAGAATCAGCGGACGAAGGGGTGGCTTCCATAATCGCTACAACAACACGCAAGTGCCCCAGCCGTTGTGAGAAACGCGAAGCCTTCCTCCGTCAGGCACTGGCGGATAAACAAGCCACACTTGTACGCCTTCATGAATATGAAATACTGGTAAAAGAGCTCGCAGAGGCGATCGACAAGATCACAGAAGAAAAAGGTGCGACATATTCACACAACTTGTCCCATACTTTTTTTGTAGCGACGATACAATTAATGGAGCATAAACTCGCCATGTAGGGCTTGCAGCAATACCCACAAAGCGCACTTGTGCTGCGGCATGTTCCCTCGATACACAATCTATGCACGCATGGGTACATACACGAAGACGAGTGCCATGCGATTTCCTTTTTTCCTTACTTCCCCGTATTTGTCCGCCATGGTAGTGCTTTGTCTGCAAACAACTCATAAAGCCCCTATCGATGCTCTTCCCACAGAAGAAATACAAGATAAGCTACATGCGGTTCATCATCAGAATAGGCAGGGGAATGAATTGCACTTGCTCCTTGACGCTATGATGACTCTCGGTACTTCCCGGCGACATTCCTCCTTCGGAAGCTTCTCCGATGCCCCAGAGGGACGAGTCGACGCAACGTCTTCAAGAGGAGAGGCAATGACAGCGCGAGACGATCTGATGGGCATCTGGGCCCGAGGGGAGACCAAAGAGCATCAAGAGGTGGAACGAGAGCTCAACGTCTTGCGAAGGCGCATGGCCAAACTCTGTCGACGTATCCGAACACGGCAGGTGGAGAGCGAACGAGGAGCTCTACACCGCGTCCATGGATCTGACAATAATGAGAGCCAGGGCGCAGCTACCAGTGCTTCCGAAGGAACATCCCAAGATGGCGAGCACGTCGGGATGCGGCACGAAGAACGACGGGAGGAGGTCTGGCACCCACGGTCACAGCTCCCGGGGCAGGAGCAAGACCAAAGGCATCATGAAAAACCGCACGTCCTCCAAAACGAGATCCGGGACTTAAAAGATAATCTACAGGTTGCACAGGCGCGATGCGCGAGCCTGGAGTCGGCAGTTTTCGCGGAACGTGGACAGTTGGAAGAAAGTCGCGGCGATGTCCGCGAAGCGATGGAACGCGTCACGGAATTAGAAAAGCAGATTCAGCGGGCTCAGGAGTCCGAGAAAGCGATCAAGGAGGAGACGCGAGAAGAGATGGAAGCTCTGGAGTTCACAAATCACGACTTATCCCGGGAGGTGATGACTTTGGAGGCGTCGCTCGAAGAAGCGCAGCAGGCGGCTGAGTCGGCGAGAAGCGAGCTTTTTCAACTTCAAGTGGGAAGGGAAGAGGCAGAGCTAAGGACAGAGGCCGAAAAAGAGAAGGTGGAGGAGCTTTCTGTGATCAAGCTTGCCTTAGCGGGCCAGGTCCGTCGTTTGGAAGAAGAGCAGAGGCAGTGCACGGCCCGCCTCTCCTTGATGGAGGAGGAGGTTCAGGTTTGGCGGCAGCGCGCGGAGGACGTGTCTGAGTGGGTCGGCGTCATGTGCAATGAAACGGAGAAGAAAGAGGCAGGCACGGAGGAGGTTCCCATCCCAGGGATCTTGGCAGCCGAGGGGAGGGTACAAACGGAGGAATATCAGACGGCAGAGAACGTGCTCAACGTCACGCGGGCCTCAACCGCCGAAGCGAGCACAGCGACCGCGGCCACGATGACGACCCCCCAAGCTGACAGCCTGCCTCTTCCCTCGATAAAGAAGACTGGAAATGCTGGTTCGAATCGTGTGGAGGCCCTGCTGCAGGAAGATTTGGCCCTCCGTAAAACGATCGAAGGGTTGCGAGGAGAGGACACCAAGGCGAAGCTTTCCTGAAGACGAAATCGAAGATGGCACAACGTGTGGTGGAGGCGAAAGGGAAAGGTTAGGGAGGTATAATGCTTGATGTCAGGAATAGCAAGTGAGAATGCTGGTGGGAATGGAGGAGGAGGAAGCATTGTTTGGTAAGAAAATGGAAAAGCCTGAAGTGAAAAACGAGCCCAGTGGGGGGAAAGGAGTGATAATGACAGGAAAGATAACGCAGTAGAAAGAAACAAAGTGATAAATTAATTGGACGGAAGTAAGAGAGCATGATCAGGGCAGATAGGGCGCAGGAAAGGGTAGGAGGCATTGAAGCAGGGCGGGTAAGAAGACTGGCAATAGGCATGGAACGTGTAAAGGGAGGGGCAGGGGCCCTGAGCTTTGTATGAGAAGGCTGGGAGAAGAAAGAGAGCATGGATACGGCTCAGTCAAGCCAGGCTTCAGAAACTAAGAAGACTCCGCACACACACACACACCCCAACCGACAACCGTAAAGGGTACTTTTGGACATAAATATCAACAATTGCTTTCGAGCGCGCGTCGCCTTCCTACCCCTCCTCTCTCTTCCCCTCCCCTTCCAGTTCCGCCGCAATCTGAGCCTCCAATTCCTCCAGGGCCTCTCCGTCCAAGGCATCCCCTCCCTCCTCCTCATCGCTCAAGCCCAGACCCTCCAAATCCATACTGTCTCCGTCCCCGTCCTTTTCCTGCTCCCCCTCTTCGTCTTTTTCCTCCATTTCCTCTGGTTCTTGTTTCCCAGATGCGGCCGGATCCTCGTGTAAGGCTGCAGGTTTCGAGGAGGAGGAAACCCCTGAGGTTC